AGGAATGTTCCCCTCCCCAATTCCCACCCACTCGATAAAGCAAGTATTTCTACAGCTATTCCCTCTGGCTATTCTCCTAGTCCACCATCATCACCTGAGATTTATCCAGAATGATCCTTGGTACACCTCTAATTTTGTTCAAAATCTAGGAAATTAAATGAATGAGCCATCTGGGTCCAACAGAGAAAAGTATATTGATTTCACTGTAACAAACATCAGTAGCTCATGGTTGCTTAGTGTGTAAGAAGAGATTTCTCAGCACTTTCTAGCAATGTTACCGAGATGTTACATACATAACTAAATAAAAACAGTTGCAAAGGCAGTAAGTCTCATGCTAAAACAGCAAGAGTAATAGGATTTTATGTGGCAAGATTCCTTCATTAGTGGCAAACCAACTCTCTTGGTATAGCCTTTAGAAATTGTGTGGGCACATACCTGCCTTTTACTCCTTTTGTGTCTTGGCTTTACAACAAACTTCTGTGATGTGGTATTCATTTGCCAGAATTCTAAGTGGAAAACAAAGCCAAATAAATCTAACGTTAAAAAAAGTGCAGTGCTTTGCTTCATAACTTTGGGGCAGCATGAACACAATATGGAAATTTTCGTTCTATCAATCATATCTGATTATGATTTCATTTTTCAGTTTTTCTAGAAAAGGAAACAACATAACACCTACTTTTCCTAACAGAGAAATTATAAAAATTGAGCTATTAATAATGTTGGTCTGTTAATATAGTCATTCTGTGGACTTCATCTTCAGAAGGTGTTACAGGTTGAACCTCTCTGATCTGACACCCGTGGGACCTGACCAGTCCCGAAGGAGGGAATTTGCCTGACCAGAAGAAGTCCCCGGCTACTGGCCCCCCAGACAACTTTCCCTCCCTGCTGCTAGCCCCAGCTGTCCCCCCTGCTGGGCTGCCAGGCTATTGTGACCCCAGAAGCCTGAATTTCCCCAGTCCTAGCCCTGCTATCGGAACTGACGCATCCCTGGCTCGGCCCCACTATCAGGGCTGCCACATCTGCCATGTCTCCAGCCCTGGCCCCGCCATTGGGGCTACCACGTCTCAGGCCCTGCCACTGGGGTTGCCGTAGCCCCTGCTGTCCTACTGAGGCTCCAGCGCTGGTCCCAATCCCAGCCTCTCCGGGCTCCAAGCCACCAGCCCTCTTACCACTGGGGCTTCCAGCCAGGACTCCCTGGTCCAAGAACACCCATGGTCCTGGCCAGACCATGAATGTTGCTGAATGAGGGAGTCCCAGTTTTGAGAGGTCCAACCTGTACTAGTGTCCTAAGACTATATTTCACCAAATACACATAGTGATTTCTATTAATATGGTGCTACCATGAACTGAATCATATGTTCTGGAATGCAGGAAACAGCCACTCTTGCAATGTGGATTCGATTTGATTGCTCTTTGCATTAATCTATGCTTAAGGTGACTATAGTCATAGAGTGATAATCAGGGTCAACAGCCACCATGGGCCCTGAGGCAAGGTGCAAAGGGGGCCCGACACTGCGTCCCTGAAAGGGGTGGAGCCAAGGGCAGAAGGGGCAGGGCTTAGGGCAACCAGCCCTTAGTGCCACCTGGACCATGGCACTTCCTCTCACCCAGCCCTCAAAGCTGTCTGGAGCATGCAGCACAGCGTGGTACCCCTGTCTTCTCAGGCAGCCCTAAGAGTTTTCTAGAGCACACAACATAAAAGGGCCCAGTGCTCCAGCCACCAATGCTACCGAAGTAACAATGGTGGCAGCCAGGAGTTCTGGGCCCCTTTGAAATGCCAAGCCCTTGTGCAGTTGCCCCCTTTACTCTGCCCCACGCCCATCGGCAGGCCTAGTGATACACATTAGAGTTGAGGGAAATCTTTTGCGATGTTTAGATTCTCCACAGTAAGTATGATATGACCCCCACACTAATCCCACAAAATCTTATTTTTTTTTAAACTTCTAATCATGAGCAGTTTATTCTTTTGCCAAATCCCATTTTGCCAGGTGTTCATAAATCACAGTTATGGGTACAACTAAGCCAAATAAATCACTAGTGTTCACTATTTTTAATATTAACCAGAACTTTACCCTTTTTAATTTTAGATTCGTATGCATTGTTTCAATTGAGTCTGTTACACACAGAAGTCCCTTTCTTTCTCTTGTATCAACAACTGTCACATTCTGGCAGTTTTTATGTATCCCCTTAATCATTTTTCAGAGAGATATACAGAAGTTCCAGCAATCTCTCTCATATTATATCCTATCCTCTTTAATATCCTTGTTTCCCTTCTCTGTTCTTTCTTTAACTTTTGGAGGCACTAATCATGAAGGGTTGAGAGCTGCTTTCTGTATTCTAAAGTCATTTCAGCAAGGCTGTTAAAGAGGCATATGGGGCTGTGCAAAATTAGGCCCTTCCAACGCACATTCCTTGGCACTCAAGTTTTAGTTAATGAAAATCCCAAACCATCTGCTTTCACATTTGGCCATAAAAATTTTCCAATATTTCCACTTCTACTCATCCTGCATACATTTTCTACCAACTACTGCATTTGTACATGTAATCCAAGCACTAGGATAAAATAAGTGAATGGTAACGACAAGGACATGCACAGTGCTTTCCCATCCCAAAGTATCTCAGGAACAATACAGCACTAATTGAAATCACACAGGAAATACTCAGGTTGGAACAAAGTCAGATGGAAATTGACATCTCCTATTTTGAAAAAGCGCTACAAAACTTTTAAAGACCACTGAAGATCAGGACATCTACTTTGTCTCATCCGAAAAACAGCATCTAATAGCAAAGTGTCCCCTATAATCATGCCAGAACACTGATTGATTTAGCATCAGCCCTGAGAGTACCAGGAAAGAGTATCACCTAGTAAATCACCACTCTTTTGAAGAACCTTGGATTTTGTCTCTTCAAAATCCTAATTCTTCACAATCAGTGGTATTGGGCAGATGCATATCATAAGATGGTATATCTGTTGGACATTATACAGCAAAGTATAATTTATTTTCTAATAATAATTTTGTAATTCCCATGGAACAAAAGAACATAAAAATCCATGTTGCAACTGATGTGATATCATACCATTTGCTTCTTTTACTACTGATATGAAGTCACCCCGATCTGTTAATTTTGCCTTTTCATCATCAATATAAAAGGAGTGTGATACATCAACATACATTGTAATGCAGCACTGACATCTTATGCACAGAGCCTACTAAGGTTAAGAACAAATTATCCTGGTATCAAATTAGAAGGTCCTTAGGGCATGTAAGTTCATAAAAAAGGTGAGGAAATAGAGAAGAGAAATATTGGCAATATAAAGTACACAGCAAAGCACTTTTGTTATAAAAGAGTCTTATAGGACAGGATTAGCGAAATAGTCCTGCTGTAGTAAATAAAAATAAAAATACTACAAGCTCACAATTGCAAATGTATCATATCCATTAAAGGAAACAGAGACAGAAAAGTGTTGGTTCTGTAAAGCCATTACTCCCAGTTATGCTACTATATAAATCAGTGAAGAATTGGAGTGAAGTCTTTGTCTCATTCAAGTCAATGGGAATTTTGCCATTGACTTCAGAGGAACCAGGATTTCTTTTTAAGTGGTTTATCTCTCCCCTCAGCATATGTCTGTTGTGCAATGGGAACTACACATTTGCATACAATAAAACTGAAGACTAAAGGGAAGACAAATCTAAATAAACAAATAATGGAAATATTGGAAAATTAATTTTCATAATTACAAAAATTGCTGCAGATGCTAAAACTTTCATTATAAACCTGAAACTGAAGACAAGTTTATAACAATATATGTGAACATGGGAAGGAGCGAAGGGATGAGTGAAGTCAATAACATGCTGTTAAAAACTTGCTAAGTATAATTAACCTGTTAAAATATGGGACCCTACCAAACAGCCAAACAGGATTTGTGCCCTATGCAGCTTCTCCACTTCATTAATAGTCATATACCTGTTATTTTCATTAGTATTCCATAATTTGATCAACTAGCAACATTTCTCCATCTCAGCCAACACAGTGTTTTCATGACAAAACCGGATTTTTCTGAAACTTCTCCAAGTAGAAAGTCTCAGTTTTTGCAAAGAAAGTTTGACTTACTTTGAAGGTCAAAGGGCATTTGGGAAAATGAAATGCCAGTTTCCTACTGCTACACTCAGACTAATTGACCATTCCTATATCTCATAATGGAGAAAATCACTGATGTTCATCAATCCTTAGTAACTAGGGGATTATCTTCATCAATCTTTAGGTCACCATGACTTTTTATGTAAAGTACATATTGCAGCTGTAATGGCATATAAAACATTCAAATCTTCAAAGTTTATTAAATATGTTAAAAATATGAAGATTGAGTTGAGGTTCGAGCTAATTATTAGGTTTATTCCCCTCCTTCAATATATATTTTTTTACCTAAACAGAAAAAGAGAGACTCAGGTAAACAAAAGAGTAAAACCCTAAAGAAAATTAGCAACCAAATATGATAAACAAGTTTTGGCACCATAAGACACAAGTTAAAATAAGAGAGCATTAAAAACAATCATACCAGATGGCAGGTCATCTAACGGAAATTCAAATAACCTGGATTTGTAAACAGAGTGCAAATGGAAATCCTCCTGAAATAGTAAACAGTGGAATGAATTAAGATAAGATAAAATGTACTATCTGGTGAATACTAGGGAGATGAGATATCTTTTGCATTAGGTACCAAACCAACATGTTGGGAAAACAAAGGAACACTTGCAGGTAGGTCCTTCAATGTCAATGGGCCTAATCACATGCTTAAATGCTTCCCTGGATTGGGGTCTACATTTTTTGAAGTTGAATAATATGAAATGCAAATGGATATGCTATATATATTGCTTTAAATGATTCCAGCACTGGCAAATGACCAAGATACTTTTAAAGATGCTGCCAAAGGGTAGTTAAGCTATGACATGTATTATTGGAGGAAAACTTCAGCAAACCTCCTCCCATTTTTCTAATACTATATTGGGATACTGGGAACTCAAATACCATACAATATTCTTTCTTTGCTTTGTACGTTTAGAGAAATATATGGATTAGATGCTGAGAGTGGGAAGACAAGGACCGGTGTATACAGTCCCAAAGTTAGAGGTGCAAGGCTGAAGATAAAGCTGCTTGTGTTCTCTGCCTCCCTTGTGTATTTGAATACTGGGTTAATTGAAGTTCTACTTACATGTGAAGTATAGTTTTCTTCTGGCTCAATAAGATAAGTATGATTTCCATCATAGAACATCCCACTGTTAAAGGCAGGAAAAGTGGTAACGTTCACTAATGATTTACAAAACATTTATAAAAAGGTTAAAACAAATGTAAACAAAAAGGAAAGGCTGTTACCTTGAATTATAGCCATTTAAAAATAAGATAAAAGCAACTTCAGGCACTATCCCTGTTTCTGAGTCCTTGTGCCAATTTTTGTGATTTTATAACCAACTTTAAAATAAATGTTTTTCCTCTCCCTTGTTGTAGTGATGAAGAGCTAGACACAAAGAGCAGCAGAAACTAACTGACCCAGTTCCCTAGTGTGAAGCTCCCTGCATGGAGCAGATTGTTCCTACAGCTGATAGATACTTAAGAGTAGATACTTTTTACACTCTGGGAACTCATGTATGACTTGTCATGACAAAATAAAGTATTGAATTGAGCTCACTCTTAGATTTTAAGCTTTTGGGTGCCATAAATCTGCCTGCCTGCATGCTCCTACATGTCCCCGCATTATAGGGACAGTTTGGAGGTAAACATAACAAGGCAAACAAACAGACAAAAATCAAGAACAACATTCTTTTCCCCTCACACACCAACGTAAGCCCTTTGTTTGTTTTTAAAAGACATAAACAGGTTTTCTATGAAACATCTATAGAAATATTCCACGAACTGCCAGAGCTAATCTCTCACACTATGTTGTCTTTTCATACAGTATGTATTCTAGCATATGGAAAGCTTTCACTAGTTCTTGTGGTATTCCTCATTATATGTACAGGAAATAGCTCTCAGGTAATATCTTTCAAATGGCAGAGGAAGTTTAAGGGCACCATCTACAGGCATTCTCATTGTATATGCTATAAAGTCTGCTGCTGTACTTGGGCACATATGAACAATCACCAATTTTCCAAGCTAACAAGGTGACACACAGTTCAGTTCTAATCATAGGATAGTCTCAAGCGTTAAGGGAGCCTACATGAATGTAGATAGCCTATAGTAATTAAATCACATGACTGTGCACCACTGTTTACAAGTAAATACACAGCTGGAGGTGACATTTACCACTGTGCAGAAGCCTCACACAAGGCCCATACATCACTTAAATCCAATTTAAAATCCTATTTTGAGTTGAAATGTGATTTAAGATTAAGACTGGCACTGGAATTCTACACAAAGGTGAATGATACACTAAAATAAAATAGATGTGATATATAAAATGTTAATTGACAGTATACTAAAGAGGTACATTTCCTACCCCCACCTCTCTTTTCTCATCTTAAACTGAGTCATCCTTTTCTTGCAATTTTTTTTATTACATCAGCATGTGTGTTGTTGAAATTAAGTTGTGTCAGCATTTCCTCTCTCAAGTGCTTCTTTCTGATTTTAAAGACACTCTATATATATGAGTTGCAGGCTCAGACTTGACATATAGTATCCAATCTCAATAAGGGAGAATTTTTTTTTTTTTTTGTAAAATCTGAGTATGCAAAAAAACAAAAGAACACTACTTTTCATTCTTTAAGTGACTGAAATGGATACTTGCTTTTGGCTTATGAAAGTAAAAATTGACATTAATTCTTAAAACATTTTATAATTAATTTTGCATTTTTGGTCACTTGAATCACATCTGACCTTGACTGTACCCTGGGAGCAACTGTGATAAGTAAGATGATGTCATTTTACTCTGTTGGGCTTCAGGGACCATAACCACACATTAAATTTTTAAACATAACATCTTTACATAAACTTATTTAATATGTGCCAATTTACAGAATAAGACAAAAGACTCCATCAAAGTAATTCTGGATTACCAAGAATATAGCTTATATTAGCAGTGGTTATAAATACATATTTAATTCAAAGAAATTCCATCCCTTTGCAAAGAATCTAGATGGTGATTCATGCTGCCTTGACTTAATGACATCTCAAGGTCCCTTCCAGTTCTATGATTCTATAACCCATACCTATGTTGTAGACATTAATTTGTTCTACGGCGTTTTAAAATAAAAATCCGGAGTTTGATGAAGGCCTTCATTCTAAGAATAAAATGAGATTTTTGGACCCATCCTGCAGATTTTAATTATGCAAAATTTTATATGAGTTAGCTGTATGACAATATGACATGAGTTAGAGCTGCATGATTGATCCGTGTGTCAGTGTTTGAGGACATAATTCACATTTATCACAATAAAGGGCCCCCTGTTTGATCATTTCACCCAACAGTATTGATCTTGGATCAAACCACTCTTTAAAGTTCATAAATGGCAATAACATGTTTACAGTCAAACAATGAATCTGATCTTTCTTAAGTCAATGGATGTTTTATAATAGAATTCAAAGGCAACAGTTTGTATACTTGAATCATTCACTAACAAAAAAAGTTAAATCCAAAGGAGTAGTAGCATACAGACCACTTTTGAAATTGGAATCTTTACCATGTCAAAACCCTAAACAAAAATATTGAAACAAACATATCTTCAATCAATTTATTCTTAAAATAGCAGATTTTTAATTTTACCACCAGTGGGCAGTAAATTCTTAGTCCAACAAGAAATTGTATTTAGAATCTGTTAGAGTCCTTTAAACTGTTATTTGAAATTAAGCTATATTATTGCAGATCTCTACCTATACTGATAAGGCCCTTCATTTCCCAAATTATTTATATACTTCTCAAACTGACACCACAATCCTATAAACTGCTACGTGTGAGGTACCCTGTACCATATACTAATTTCAGTTGGGGCAAGGAAGGAGTCTCCCTGTGTGAAGAAGCTTGTAAGATCATGGCCTAAGAATATACTTGAATGTTTAAAATGTTGTAATATTACAAGAAATAATCTATCATAATCTATCATCCATTATTAAGATGATAGATTATGATTTATGGTATACAATGCACAAAGGAAGACATGGCTCTCTACCAAGGAGCTTGTATTGTAATAAAAATGCATTAATACAGATTAATATGAATAATTTATTTGAAAGACATTCAATATGAACATTCAAAATGAAAATTGCAAGTAATTTTGCACTTATTTCTATACTCTTCTGCAGGAAAAATGAACTAAAGCTAAATTTAAGAAGGCATGTGCACATAAGAAATCTTAATAATTAGGGTGGGCTTTTCATAATGTTCTATTTTTCATTTGAGGCTTTGCATTAACCCACAGTAGACTGTGACTATTGGACTGTTTCTTCAATGTGACTACCAAAAAGAAAGGAAATTAAGAGTTATGAAAATTACACATTCAATCCTACTGCCTTCTTAATTTACTGAACGAGAGATGGACATCACTAAAAAGAATGCAGACCTCAATAGCTAAAGAAATTGCAAGATACATTTAAATAAACCATTGTGACAACAACCTTAGCACCTGATCTATACCCACTAACGAATCATATAGCTGTTACAGGTTGAGACCTGGAGAGTGTATTAAATAGAGGAAAGAGCTTGAACAGGATGTGGAGAATATGAAACTTATTGCTCCTTTAGAGGCATATTTGTTGGGAATTACCCTACAATATTCTTTAGCTAGTGTATTTCATAATGTTCACCAAAGAACCAGCCTTACAGACCTTATTAGATGATTATAGCCCCCAGTTTCCTCTGCTCCAGAAAAATACTCCCAATCCTGGCTTGAGCTAATGCAATCTAAATACCAGCATGAATCAGTTGTATTTGAGATCTCCTGATGAAAAGTAAGTATTTGAGATCTAATAAGTATTTGAGATCTACTGATGAAAAGTTCTGCATAAAAGCGGATAACGCACATTATGACACAGTGTTACAGCACCTGATCTTAACAGGACGTGAAAGACACACTGCAGTCTTGTGCAGGTTCCTGGGATGCACCAATCTATTATATTGTTTCAAAATTGTCCCTGCCTATTGTGAAAGAGGCACCTATTAATCTCTGTTGCTGATATCTGTATATAGATACTTTAAGATTCCTTCCTAAAAGGAAAAAAGAGATGTATCTAAGAGGGCTGAAATAAAAAGGAAAAGATAACAACTCTTCATCACCATAGTTGTGTAGCTGCTTTAGAAGGTATTAGTCTTGATAATTAAGCTCTGAGGGTATGTCTACACTTGCACACTAGTTTGAACTAGGGATGCAAATGTAGGCATTTGAAATAGTCAATGAAGCCAGGATTTAAATATCCCGCGCTTCACTAGCATAATCTCGGCCACGTGCTATTCCGAACGCCCGCTAATTCGAAAGTGAAAGTGCGCTCCGGGCAGCATTAGTTTGAATCAAATCCCTTGTTGCGAACTAACGTTACTCCTCATTTAGTTCGAGCTAGGGTGCAAGTGTAGACACACCCTGAGAGAATACAGAACAGTGAGTTTCATGAAGAACAAAGACCAAAGAAAAACCAGCAAGGAATGTTTTCAGTCTCTTTTCCCCTTCCTATCTTACCTCGGAGAGTTAACAGGAGCCTGGACTACAAACCAAGACCTAATGGATCACAACTAATGGAACTCATGCAGTTAAATCTCTGCTGAATGCACTGAAATGCTACTATTTTTAGATTCACCTTCAGCACGGAACCTGAAGTCAGATTTCCTGGGTTAGTCCTCACTACTAAATCTTGATTAAAAGGAGACAAAAGCATTACGGTATGAACAATCAGATAGAAAACTGCAATGTAAAATAAAAACCAAAGCCAACAAATTTAACTGAAAGAAACTAAATAAAAGTATAAAAGTCTGACAGAAAATTTACAGAACTATTGGAGAAGGAAAAGGATTGAATCAATGAAAATCCCCATCGGATAAGTTCCTGCCTTTTAGTGAAGCAGGAAGGAAAAAGAGAAGCATAAGGTAATTGTTGAGTGAGTGCTCCTATTTATAGACTATCTTTTTGCCATTCATCACATGATCCTTCAAGCAATGCCTGACCTCAATATCAGAGGTGCTGAGATCCTGTAACTCCCAATTAAGTTCACTGAAGTTGCAGTTTCTTAGTGCCTTTGAAAATCAGGCCAAGAATTTTTCTGAACCAGTCCAAACTATAATACAAGTTAGGCTTGAGATAGGCTACATGGGATTTTGTACAGTTGTTGAGAGCCACAAATGGAAGGTGCTATTACGTACTACACAGTGTTAAAATAATGCAAAATTTTCAATTTGCCATCTAAGATCCCCCTCCTTTTCTTCAGATTTACAAATATATTGACATATATGTTAAATACTGATCAGCTGGTAAATATCTAAGATCAGCACCTCTGTAAAAGAAAAAAAAATATTAGAAAATCCCCACATCATTGTCTCAGTTTTGTTTTGTTAGTCAAAATAGAAGAGAAATGTGCCACCTACTTATTGTCATGATTAGGAAAGAGCAAAGCATATTCTGAAACACTTAAGAGTAACATTTAGAAAGTTAAAAAACAACGAATAATCTAGCAGCACCTTAAAGACTAACAACTAATCAGCCTCTTGTAACTTGAACAATCTCATTCACTATTTTTTTCCTCTTTCTCTCCGCCCCCCGCCTTCCCTTATTTATTCTTGGATCTGGACTTTTAATACTCCAGTCATCTGAAGAAGTGGGTAGTGCCACAAAAGCTCATGATACCATCTACATGTTTTGATAGTCTTTAAAGTGCTGCTAGACTATTTGTTGTTTTTTAAGTTTTTCCAGTTACAGACTAACTCGGCTACCCCTCTGAAGATTTAGAAAGTTATTTTTCCCTTAGGAAATGAATATTTTGGATTACTGTTAACCTTGGTTATTTATTTGTAAGTAAGCTTTAATTTAAACAAATGTGACTGTTACACAATGCTAGTGTGTTCATGTGCTTGGTGGAAAAATCCAAAATTTCTTTATAGATCCAAATTCTTCCCATAATTTAAGAGGCAGTGTGAAATGTTTAACATTTTGCCGCAATCTAGTAAGAAAACAATTATTAATTCTTTTACTATAAAACTTGTACTTATTTTATGAAATTATATGTGGCCCATGACAAATAACCTGTGGAAACTTACTGAAGTCCATGGCATGTTGACAAGGCAACAAATGATTCTAGGTTTCCTCGAATTTGGCCCTGGTAATAGCAATGTTCTCCTCCCTGCAATTGAAAATAGAGACTGTCAATCAATTATGTACCACAGTATCATACTCCTGTCCTCACAAACCATGTTTGATAAATGACAGTGTTGCCAAGCTTACCAGCCAATAACTCAGAGTCATTCATAAATTGAGAGAAAATATACTACCATAGAGGACATTCTTATCAAAAAGATTACAGAGAATTAGTCACAAGTGTCCCAAGCGTTCTGAACTAAAGAAAACATGGTATATAACAATATGGTAAAAAGTGTAATGAATATTAACACTTGCCTTTTCTTTTCTATAAGCAGTGCCCATGCCATACGTGTCAAATCCTGCAGTCTGTTACTTGACAAAACTGACACTGAAGTTAGGAAAAGGATTGGACTGTATATCTGTCTAGCTATATGTCCATGTCCAATGCCCCCATCACTGTACAATCTGAGCATTGTCTATAAAATATGACTAACCTCATTTCTATTTGAAAAAGTATTCTATATCTGTTCATACTTATATGAAATTAAATACTCTCAGATACTACCTATCGTGAGAACATTTCTAACAACTGTTTTGCCAACATTAAATTAACTGAAATTAAAAAATGAAACAGAGTATGTTAGTAGCTTTGGGGAGATGACAAAGAAAAATCCCCTTTTGTTTTCTATGGCATCATACAGACTAAGAATTTCAAAAGGGACTAGTGATTTTTGGTACCTAACCTGAGACACCATGAAGAGTCCTGATTTTCAGAGGGTATATGCACTGCACTTTCTGATAATGAGGCCCTGGTGTTTGAGCACCAAAAATCATTAGTCCCTTTTGAAATTCTTCTTACACAGGGACATTGTTGCCATTGAGTATAACTAGAAATGTACTGCATCAAGAATTGGAGGGTCATGCTCAGATACTATGATGCTGACTGCCACAGAAAAAGCATAATATATGATTAGAGAGATGAAAGGCTAACTAATACGTGGCTTGTTTTTTGCTTTGTTTTAGAAAGAGTATCCTTCCGACAGATTTTCAGTTAGAGTAATAGAACCACAATGCAAGAAGGGACCGCAAGGGTTATCTAGTCTAACTGCCTGACAAAATACAGGGATTTGTCGTCTCTAAATCACCCAAGACAGATGTCTAACCAGCCTTCTTTTGAAAGCCTCCAGTGAAAGAGTTTCCATGATATCGCTAGGCAGTTTTTTCCATTGTCCTACTATTTTACAGTTAGGAAGTTTTTCTTGAGATGTAATCTAAATCTGCTATGCTGTAATTGGAACCCATTGCCTCTTGTTCAGCTCTCTAAACAACTTTTCTCCATTTTTATGGCTGTCTTTCAAGTATTTGAAGACCATTATCATGTCCCCTCTTAATCCCCTCTTTTCCAACTTAAATATACCCAGTTCCTTCAGCTTTTGCTCATGCAGCTTGCATTCCATTCTTTTGATCAACTTTTTGTTGCTTGCTTTAGGATCCTTTCCAGTTTCTTGTCATCCTTTATATACATTGGTGACAAAAACTGGACACAGTACACCAACTGAGGCCTAACCAGTGCTTAGTAGACCAATACTATCACCTTCTGTGACTCGCGTGCTGTGCCGATGTTAACAACAGTCTAAAATTATGTTTGTTTTTTTTTGCAACAGCATCACACTGCTGGTTCATGCTAAGGCTATAATCCACCACAACTCGCAGATCCCTTTTAGCAGTGCTGCTGCCAAGTCAGTTATCCTCCATTTTGTATTTATGCATTTGGTTTTTCCTCCCTAAGTAGCACCTTAGATTCATCATTATGTTGTGTATAGGCCAGGCCTCCGTTATATCAAGATTCCTTTGAATTTTAGCTCTAGCCTCCAAAGTGTTGGCAACCCCCAAACTTTGTGACATCTGCAAATGTTATTAGTATACACTCTATTCATACATCCAAGTCATGAATAATAAATAATATACTTATAATATGCTTACATATACTTATAACAATTTATAATATATTTTAAATTGTATCAAAATTTTATTTCCTGACTATTTATCTCCTCTTATATTGTATTGTGTCATCTCTCTCTTGCCACTCCACTGACGGAGGCAGCCTCCACTCCTTGTCCAAGCCTCTCGCTACAATCTCTATGTTTTCCTCTGAGCTCCCCTTTCATATTAATCTGTAAAGCCACTTATCTGTCCCCAACAAATACCTCCCCAGGATTCACATTTACCAAGATGTCTACAGGAAACTGTCATCTGACTAGATCTAAATATATGGTCAGGAGGAACTGCTGCTATTATTTTACTTAAATCTGATAGTTAAGGGATAATGTGCTTAATTTAATTAAATTAAATCAGTTAATTTTGCAGTTTATCCATGATCACACAAATTTTAGCAGAATCAAAAATAAAACCCAAAAATAAATCTCTTCACTCCATGACCACATTTTTTTACCACTATGGAACATTCTGGGTTATATGTTGATACATGGAGTGCAACTTCACTATGCACTCACTTCTCTCTCTCTCTCTCCACACACACACACACACATACACACACACACACACACACACACAAAGCTACGTCTACACTGGCATGAATTTCCGGAAATGCTTAAAACGGAATACTATTCCGTTTTCAGCTTTTCCGGAAAAGGAGCATCTACATTGGCCGCGGAGTTTCCGTGATAACGATGCGCTTTTCCGGAAAAGCGCATCTACGTTGGCGGCACGCTTTTCCGGAAAAGCAAAAAGCCCGGAACCATTTTGAAAAGGGCAAAGGCCACCAGACCTTTCCGGGGGCGGGGCCGGAGCTCCGTCCAGACGCGTGGTTAAAGGGGTCTCGCTGGGCAGCCGTTGGTCTCGTGCTCCCGTGCCTTGTGACCTCTGCCAGGGACTGGCACCCTTCACAGGGTCGGTGGTTGCTCTGTGAGTTTTGGGATCACCACCCTTTGGCCCCCAACCGCTTTTCCCAGCATCTTCTTTTTTCTGCCCTGCTCTATCTGCCATGGAGCCGTGGGTGGCCATGTATCTGCTCGGGCCCCTGTTGGACCTGTACAGGTGCCTGGAGCTCGTGCTGCAGGCTGGTGCCCTGGCATTCATATACCAGGAGGCAGAGATTGCCTTGGACTCCCTCACCAGGGAGGTCCTGGCAACCGCATGGCATCAGCACCCGACCATAGACCGGCCCATCTGGACTTTGGAGACGAGCACCGACTGGTGGGACCGTGTGGTCCTCGGACAATGGGACGACCACCAGTGGATCCGGAATTTTCGGATGAGGAAGCGGACCTTCATGACGCTGTGCACCTGGCTCACCCCCGC